GGGTCACCAGGGGAGGAAAAAGGAGATGTGAGGATGGTATGACGGGGTGCAGAGAGAAACAAGGAAGGTTGCATGGGTGTTCAATTGGAGGTTTGCCATGGCTGCTCAGCTCCTATCTTCATTACAACCTTGGTCCAAACAAGACAAAGGAACTGAACTCCAGTGTTGAAGTGAGAGCTACTGTCCTGGATGTTAAGGCTGTGTTTAACTCGCTGTGGTATAAACCAGCCCCCAGCAAAACTTGAGACAATGGGAGTAAGGAGAAAAAACTCTCCACTGGTTGGAGTCATACAGACCACAAAAGGAAGATGGTTGTGATTGGTGGAGTTCAGTCAGTTCAACTCCAGGGCAGCACTCCAGATAGTTCCTCAGGATTATGCCCTCGCCCAAAAATCTTCAGCTGCTTTAGCAACAACCTTTCCTCTTTCATTAGGTCAGAAGTATTTGTTGATGATTACAATGTTCAGCATCATTCACAACTCCCCAGATACTGAAGCAGACCCTGTCTTAAATGCAGCATGACTGCAGAATATCAGGCTTGGGATGAAGAGTGGCAAGTAACATTCATGCCACACAAGTTCCAGGCAATGATTTGATATTGCAGAATCCCCCACTAACAACATCCTGGGGAGCTTACCATTGACCAGAAACTAGCCATATAAATGCTATGGCTGCAAGATGAATTGTTTCCAATTTAACGTAAACTGTCAAGTTCAAGGCTGCACAAGTTCAGGATCTACTATACTTGCAAAAAAAAAATGTAGTGTATATAACAAAATTGAAATCTGAGAATGAAGCAAAGGTGCAGTAAAGACAGTTACAATGGCCTGATTAAAATGTTCCAGCTTCACGCACGTGATGTATTTGCTGTGATCTCGGCAGTCTGAAAAACGTTTAGGGTGATGGCTTTCCATATGTAGAAATGTGTGCCAGTTATTTTTAACAAAAACATTTATTAACTTACACGGGTTATTGTGCACCAATCTAAACACTGTGGTGTCATGGAAACTAATGTTTTCCTCATATGTTGCGGCTTTAATTTTAACAGAGTTGATCATTGTTGAGGATATTGATGAATTGTTCTCATTCTGCTCATGTGCGAGTTCAAATAGCCCATATGTCAACACAAACACATGATACATTATATCTATCATTGCCTAATAAATGAGTTAGAGGATGAAAATGTGTCCCCTAAAAGATTTCAAGAGGAGCCCTTAAGAAGTTTTTATTAAATTCATTCATGGTATGTGGGCATCACTGGCAAGGCCAGTATTTATTGCCCAGTTAAGAGTCAATCACATTGCTTTGGGTCTGGAGTCACATGAAAGCCAGACCAGGTAAGGATGGCAATTTCCTTCCCTAAAGGACACTAGTGAACCAGATGGATTCTTCTGACAATCAACACTCATTTCTTCATTCGACTCTTAATTCTAGATTTGTTTTCTTTTATTGAATCCAAATACCGCCATATGCTATGGTGGGATTCAAACCTTGGTCCCCAAAACATTACCTGGGTCTGTGGATTAATAGTCTAATGATAATATCACAAGGCCATTGCCTCTTCAGGTGTCAAGAAGAGCCCTTGAAAAAGGAAATTTATTTAGAGTCTGGAATCAAATGCCACAATAAAATTAGATGGCAATACAAAGGACTCCTGAATCTTCGCCTCTTATTATTAGTACGAGCTTTCATGTGAGACTGCTGATCAAAAGTCAGCTGTGAACTACTGACAGTGATACTGTACTAAAATAAAACAAATAGAAAAAAAAAGATTTTGCCCTAACTCAAACCTATGACCTCAACCATTCAAAAGGACAAGGAACTCATCATCTGCAGGTTCCCCTCCAGTTGCACATCATCATCAGGTAGGAATACCCTCCTTCACCGTCACTTGGTCAAATTTGTTGCACTTTCTCCCCAGCAGCACTGTGTGTGTAGCTACATGTATGGAGTGCAACATTCAAGGTGGCAGCTCACTTCCACTTTCTCAGGAACAACTAAATAAATATACAGTCAATAAACGTTGGTTTAACCAGCAACTCTCATTTTTCAGGAATGATTGAGAACGTGAGCACACCATTTTACATCTGAATTACCAGGTATTTGAATTCAAGTACACTGTGAAAGCAACTTCCATCAATACTTTTGCATATTGTATAAAGGATTACTTGGGTGGATAATTATTGGATAAATAGGTTTCTAAACAGTATAGGAAGAGTTATGGGCACTTAGAGCTTGATTACAAGTGAAAATGCAAGTGCTAGTCCCTACAACAAAAACATCCCTTATTCAGATCCACACAACTGGCACAGTGCTGTTAGAACACTACCTCAGCAGTGGAACACCAGGTCAATTCCTCCATGACATTTGAACCTTACTGAATCTTCTTTTATGGCTATGTCCAAGTGGCATTGGTTTTTGTTTTGGTAAGGATTTTTGCCGCAAAACTGAACAAATTTTCTGGGTCTCTCTTACCAAAATTATCTCATTGACTAGCTACACACCCCATAAGGTCTCTCCTGCCCGACTGCCACCCCAACTTACTATGCACTGTTCCTTCAAAAATTTACGTCAGCAGACACCTGCTGAAAATCCAGCAGTCTTCGTGTCTACCCCAATGTTTAAAGCCTATTATGCACCCAAACAAGCCTAGACAGTCTGCAGCTGCTTTGCACGATTCCTGACGTTTCTCCCCAATATGGCAGACTGAGGGAATTGGCACCTTTAGAGTCATCCAGCACAGAAACCCAGGATCCTGGAG